TTTAAAAAAAAAAAAAAAAAAAAAAACAGACGCAGCACTGCTCTCATGCTGGAGATTCCCCCCTTTAGTGGGGCAGCCAGTACTTCTACGATTCGTTCATTCGTTTCGATGTTAATTTGGTACAGATGAAAATGCCAGGAAATCAAAATCACCACCATATAACTCCGAGTAACTCTCGCAAAAGAAAGGCCAATAACATCCTTCTCGATGTTGCTAGCACGTGTTATCGCGCGGCTCTTCCCCGAGTGTTCCTGCTTCTCGTACAAGGCAAATAAGAAGGGAATTTTAATTTTCAGCGTCAAAAAAAAGAAAAAATAAGTAAGTACCACGAGAGCCTTCGGTGATGAGGCAGCCAGCGCCGTAAATACCGGTGGGATGGAACTGCACAAATTCCATATCTGAATTCTGAAGTCCCGCACGAGCCACCAGTGCTGTACCATCGCCAGTGCATGTGTGTGCTGATGTACAGCTGAAGAATGCTCGTCCATATCCGCCCGTTGCAATCACTGTATTCTTTGCACTAAAAATCATAGCCATGAGATTGAAAATTTCCCGCATTTGGATGAACGAGACGAGCTAATCACTTCTACAAGGAGGGAAGCTGGACGAAAGGTGAGGAAGAGGTGTTCATTTGTTCACTGCTCGGTTTTCTTGCCATTAATTAAAGGTTGAAGAGGAAATTTGAAAGAGGGAAGAAAACGAGGAAAAGTGTAGTAAGATGGAAAAGGGGACTGAGGAAATATTTGTAATAGGTAAGAAATGTTTCGGTCCATTTTTCGGTCCAAATGTTTCGGTCCATTAAGTCGTATATATTTCTTGCCGTTACCACAATTGGACCTCATCAGTACGACGATTGTGGTAACAAAATAATTTAGTGGGATATAGAAATTAATTGAGATAAAAGAGATGAAAATCAGAAAAAATGGAAGAAATGGAAAACCAGAAGTAAGCAAATAGAAGAAATAGAAAAGTTGTAAAATTATATAATTCCATTAATTTACAAAATTTTGTACTTCTCATCTCCCATTTTCCTTTTTGATTCTTCTAATTTCATCCGTTTTCAATAAACCTTTCTATTTCATCTGCTTCACTCACTCGCTGCTCGAAAGAAGCAGTTCGCTTTCTCATAAAATGCTTCGGAAGCTAATAAAAGCATTATATTTCTAATGCAGCGATCAGTTTAGCATTAAAATGAATTGTACAAGGGGAGATGGCGGGGAGGGGGGAGGAGGGGGAAGGGAAGGCAACTTTAAATCACGGGCTTCCTGCTCGGAATATAATGGCACCAAAAACTAGATTTCCAATTACTTAGACAGTCAGATCATCTTGAAATAGCTGAGACCTTGTCAAAGGTCTTTCTTGGGGAAAACGTTGATTTTGTAAATGGGAATTGCATTGCCATTTCTTTTAAAACTATTATCCTACAGTTATCAAAACTATTATCCATTAGCCATTATAAGCTTCTTATCTCACAAAATCCCCCCACACTCAGGCCAAGGCAGAAGAGATTGGAAAGAGGGGAGGAGAGAGGTACCAAAGAGGATGCCCGGAATATGACAAAAAAAGGGGGGGGGGAGTACAAAAAGGGACGGGAAAGGTAGGGCAGCGGGGTTGGCCCCGCTGCCGGAAGAGAAGACGATGGGAGCCGCCGCGCC